CCCCCCGCTCAGCATCCCGCTGGTACCCGGGCCGGGGGGCGAGGGGCCGGGGGCAGCGCTGCCTGCCCGGGCTGCCCAGGACCCGGCTGGGAAGGGGCCCGGGGGGCGATCGGGACCGTGTCCAGGAGCCGGAGGGTCTCTCCCCGTGAGGGTGTTCGCCCTCCGCAGCCGGGGCAAGCGGGAGCGGGAAGCGCTGCTGAAGTGTCGGCGCTCCCGAGAGAGGGGATGGCTGGTTTCCCTGGTTTGCAGACCCCTAGGAAGGAAGGAAGGAAGGAAGGAAAGAAAGAAAGAAAGAAAGAAAGAAAGAAAGAAAGAAAGAAAGAAGAAGAGAAAGAGAGAAAGAAAGGAGTGTAAAAAGAAAGGCTGAAGGAGAGAAAGAAAAGAAAGAGAGAAAGAAAAGAAAGAAAGAAATAAGGAAGAAAAGAGAGAAAGAAAGAGAAAGAGAGAGAGAAAGAAAGAAAGAAGCAAGCACTGTGTAGAGATATTTAGGAAAATGTTTTGGAGCAGAAGCTCGATGCAGAATATGGAGCTGAAGGAATAATTTTTAAATGGTAGTACCGATGGGAGGATTTATTTAAAGATTTTGCTTCCGTAGGCATGCGATATTTCAGATTAGTAACTGTCTTAATTATTTTGGCTCCGTGCTGATTATGGAATTTGTTTTCTGCTTTTTCTGCTTGGCTGGTGGGAGCAGGCGGATAGAAACCGTTCTGGTTTGGTCCCTCAGGATTTCCTTTTTTGTAGTTCGTTATCAGGCCGCTGGGCTGATTTGAACCTAACTTTTTCGCTGATAGAATTACAGTGTCTTCTGCAGAGTTCCCCCTTCAATGCACCGAGGCATAAGGATGGAGCCTGTTTGCTTTATTTATCTGAAAGTCACATTTCTGTCCCCAGCGCAGCCCACGCGGTTACGGTGTGGACTGTGTCGTTGTTCCTCTCCAGAGCCGGACACCTTTCTCCTCCTCATGCGGAGGGATGAGAAGATTGCACTAAGGCATAATTTCCCAAAACACGCTAGGGTTTACAAACTTGACAAACAAACTGGGGGTGAATTCAGGTCAGGTGTTTGCTTATACAGTACGTCGTATCCAACTTGCGGCGTTTAATTTAAGCTTCATTTCTGTGAGGGCCCGGGTGAGGCAGCGGCTGCCTTGCATGCCTTACGCTTCGAGTTCCATAAAACGCGGCTTGTCTGCAGTAATTCTGATATAATTCACAATCGGTGACTTAGGGACGAGAAAGTGTCGCGACGCATTCTGAAACCGCCTTTCCTGGACGCAGCACCGGGAAGATGAATTACCGCAGGCACGAGACCCGTGTAGGGGCTTTATTAGGTTTGGAATGCAATCAGCAACACTTGCTTTCTTAGTCCTTTACCTAATTATCCTCATTGCCTATGTCACATACAGAGAGAGCAGCCAGGAGGAATTTATGTCTAGGGCAGTCAAAGCTAGAAAATTCGTGTTTTATGTGATTTTACCCTTCTGACTTTTCTTCGGTGGTAGAAATCCCTGCACTGGCTGCATACATAAAAGCGCTTCGGATGCACCTGTAGCTGATTTTTTATGTATAAGTAAACCCGCTGCTGCATAATCTGCACTTGCTGAAACGTTAGCCCTAAGTAACCTTTACAGCTGGTTATGGTGCAGAGGGAGATGTTGGTATTCATGAATGTTTTGACATATTTGACATTTTCTATATGGTGTGCTCTTTCTCTGCTTTTCTGATTTCCTCCTGTCTTTGCTCCCCCGTTTTAGGGGTAAACAGTAGCCTTCACCAGACTGCCGTGGTCTGCGCTGCTTTGGAGGCAGAGGGGTGGGTTTGCAAAGAAACTTAAGCTTTGTGGTTTCTTTTTTTTTTAAAAAAATTTATTTTATTTCAGAGTATGTGTCTAGGTAAATAATGGAATTATTGTATTTTAATGTGGTGCAACTATGAGCAGAAGAGCTCATTTTGACAAAAGAGGTGATTTGTGTTCTCCTTCAAAAGCAGCACGGCTGGCAGTCGCATTTGGTAAAATCTGAAGGCACGGGATTTCTGCGTAACTAGAATTTAACGTGGGTGCGATATTAGGTTTATTACAGTCCCAGCAAGGCAGCCCTGCCGAATTCAGCACGGTCATTTGTGACTGCTTGAATTTCTAATGCCATGTCTTCTGCAAGGCGGCGAAGGTGCCGGGTGGCTGAGTGACTGATGCTAAAACTAATTTTGGATAAATGTAAGCATTACTTTTAGCTGAATAGACCTCACATCTACTCAGATAATTTCTAATTTTTATCCACACCTATGTGCAGTGTTCTGTGGGAAACCGAATCTTGTTAGTGGATTTGGGACCTTGGCTAAGATGAGCGAATGTCTGTAGCACCAGTTGGGTGTTTCGGTCACGTAACGTTTTCCTCCTCAGGTCCCTCTTCCGAGTGAGTGCCTTTCCCGATGTGGGAAGAGTTCAGTGCAGATGAATGTTTCTGTTTAGGAGAAATGCCACTCGAACCGCTTCTGTACGTGGACAGGCAGCTTTTCCAGGTAGCCGCCCCCGGTGGGACCGGAGCCCGGCTCCTCTCGCTCCCAGCAGCAGTGGTTATTACAGTGGATTTTCGGCAGGCAGCGGTCGCTGCTGTGTGCGCTGGGCTAATGCTCTAAATCGCAGCACTTCAGGTTTGGTGGTGGAAGTAATGGCTTTAATAGGACAAATCTGCTCTACGGTACCGGCAAAAATAGCTTTTAATGCTCGTTGCGTATCTTATTAAAGGCAAAGGGGCTCGCACATGTTAATAAATACTAAATAACATTACTTAGCTAATTTTTCTTGACTAACTTGGTTTTCTACAAAGACACATCAGTCCAAAATTTTACTTTTTTCTATCTTTTTAATGTTCTATGCAAATTCCACAATATACAACCACTCCATCAGGATTGCAGGCAATAAAACGTAGCTGT